CCACCTCTCTGTGCTCTCCCTCCCCGCCCACAGGTAACAGAACACCAGCCGGGAGCAGAATACTGGGTTCCACTCCAGCTCCTCACTGCGAGCTGTGTGACCTCGTGCTGCAGTGCCCCCTGCAAATGGAAACATAACAGTGCCTTACTCATAGTATGACTGTGAAGTTTAAAGGACTGCAGACATATACGCTGAGTGGCCAAATTATTATGATCTCTGAATGCATAATAATCTTGCCACTCAGTGTGTGTGTGTGCGTGTGTGCGTGTGTGCGTGTGTGTGTGTGTGTGTGTGTATATATATATATATTAGAGGTCTGGTGAATGAACATTCATGCACTGGAGGGGGGGTGGTCCCTCAACCCAGCCCGTCCCCTTCACAGTTTGGGAGCCCTCAGGGGCGCAAGGCAACCCAGAGATCAGGGGAAGGCAACACCCCCATCACACCTTTGCAGGCAAGCCTTGGCCGGCCCTGGTTACCTGAGCCTTGGGAGGCCCTGGGCAGCTGGACAGCCGCCATCCCAGGCTTGCCTTCACCTCAGGTTGGCTCTGGGCGGCTGGGGGGACTGGGGGACTCCAGAGGCAGGCGCACAGAGCAGCTGGACCCGCCTGGGGCCGTGCCTGGCCGTGCCATGTGCCTGCTGCCCCGGCGGGGCAGAGCAGACTGGGCACCGTCATCTCTGAGGACATGACAGTAAATTAGCATATTCCCTCCTTATTGGCTGTGGGTGCTGCCATATTTTGTGAGGGTGTAATGGTCAATTAGCATATTCCCTCTTTATTAGATAGGGTGTGTGTGTGAGTGTGAGTGTGTGTGTGTGTGTGTGTGTGTGTGTGTGTGTGTCCTGGTGCATGAATTCGTGCATGAGTAGGGTCCGGCCAGCATGGCCAGGGGGAGGGGACATGGGCAGTTGGCTAGCCTGCCTGCTAACTCCTGGTCAAGGGGACAATTTGCATATTAGCCTTTTATTATATAAGGTTCCCACAGGTTGAGAACCGCTAGCAGGGTCGCCTAAGACCACCGGAAAACACATATATTTACAGTACAATTTATAACAGTAGCAAAATTACAGTTATGAAGTAGCAATGAAAATAATTTTATGGTTGGGTGTCACTACAACATGAGGAACTGTATTAAAGGGTCTCGGCATTAGAAAGGTTGAGAACACTGACCTAGAATAATCTTCTCAAAATGTACTGCCCGGACCGGCAGCAGCAGCAGCACCTGGGAACTTGTTAGAATGCTAGGACCCAGCTACTGAATCAGAAACTCTGAGGGTGGAGTCCAACAACTGTTGGAACAAGCTCTCCAGGTGGTTCTGATGAGTCTGAATCCGGGATCTGTGGAGCCGAAAGCGACATGGAATCACAGGATGAGCACTAGATCAGGAGTGGACTCTGGGCTTAGCTGTCGTTGACCTTGCACAAGTAATTAACCTCACAACTTCCTTAGAAGCACTCAAATACTTAAATGTTGTGAGGATTAAATGAGATCCCATGAGCAGAGTTTGCATATAGTAGGAGCTTAATAATTATAAGTTCCTTTCAGTTTTCTTTCTGTGTCTCTCACAGGATTGTGAAGCCAAAAAAAAAAAAATTACTGCAATAATATAGTTTTGCAAACTGCCAACGGCCATAGCAACCTGAGCAAGGACAAGTCATTCTTGGTTCGAACAGCCATGCTAGCATCCGATGCCTAGTGTTCAAGGGGCACAAGGAAGCGGTTTCTGCCCAACCCCACCCACTACAACAAACCCTGCGGCAGAGAATCTCCTTACAGCTCATCAAAGCACAACTATGGAGACAATAGATGGTCCTTCTCCCATCCCCCAATATTCTGGTCAGAATTAACTAACTGTTCACTGTTCTCTTCGTGCAAATGAATCCAAGTCTTGGAAAAGGATTATCTAAAAATGTCTTTCAGCCGCAAGAAAAACTGCCAATACTTGCAGAGCACATGGATAGGGAACTCCCGACCGATCACATCCAACTCCCGGTGGCTGGTCGTGGAGGGTTGAGACTAAGACCATCACCACTTTGAAGCTTTTTTCAGAAGAGAAAAGGTGAAAATAAAAGCAAGCACTTTTTCTTTCTCCATACTTAGTCTCTTACACCATTGCTGGCTCTCTCTGAAGCGCACATCCTACTCAGGAACCGCCTTCCAGAATGAAGAGCAGGACGGATGAAGGAAATGCAGACTCCGCACGCCAGGCTGTGGGCTTAGCTGCTGCTTGAGATGGGCAGACTGTGTGTCTACCAAACAGCACCAGGTTAGAACGTCCGCATGAAGCCAGGCCTGACAGAGTAGTCGTTACTCTGCGGGCTCTCCTACTATGAGCCAACGCTTCACAGCTCCAGAACACCTTTGGCCGGCATGTTACCGCTGCTGAAGGGTCCCTAGGAGCAGCTTTTTAATATTTCTGTCCCAGAGCCTGGCACACATAGACACTCAAGAAGCCTGCTGAACTGGACTGATGGACTTTAGGTGTAAGCCCATGGAGCGGTTGAGAGGTAGTCTTTTATGAGTGAGGAAATGAGTCCAGAGAGACTAAAAGTGGAGTTAGCTAAGATGTAGTCTTTGATGTCAGCCACCCAAAACGAGGCTTCCTACTGGCCCAAACCATACTTACTTATATTCCCACAGCCACCTCTGTTCCACTCAGACTGTGCTCACAGATGTGCCCACACCTTACCCCCGCACCCACCCCCATTTACCTGTGGCCAGGCACACGGTATCCTCTTCTTGGCCTCTGGAACCCTCAGTCCCAAGGAAGCTAGTCCCAGCACCCTGGCATTCCGAATTCTTTTGGACTCCTAAGAGCACTTAGCCAGGAGTGGCCTCTTCCAGTCATCATTGTTCCATGCAGCTCTGTCCTCTCTCGATATACAAGTGTCCTGGGGGCCAGGCAGCTGCGAAACCCCAGCTCCCCCTCTTGCCTGCCAATCAGTCACTCACTCCTCTGAGCCTCAGTGTCCTCTCTCTGATGTGGAAAGACAACACGACGTCTTCACAAAGCAGCTGTGAGGGGTAAATAATGGCTGGAGAATTGCTGTGTGTAAGCCATAGCTGCTGCTTTTAATCATTAGCTTTGTTGTTGTTGTATTTCCACATTCCCCTTCCTCCCAACCCCCTGGGGCATACTTTTAAAAGAATATTAACTGTACTGAACGTCATGAAAATCACTTTCACACTTTGTCACCACAGTACAGAATACACATTAGAACTGAACTGAATGTGAAATTCCATAGGTATTAGCCAGGTGACTGACTAGCAAGGAGGAGGCTTCACTCTTTGCTGTCAGGTATGCTTTTTGTAAGTGATGGGGCCTGCAAGGTCACAGATGGGCCAGCTGTCCCACACATCCTCTCCACTTAACTTACTTGTTCTGTTATTAACAGTGAGAGCTACAATTTATTGACCCTCTACTACGTTCCAGGCACTGTGTTCCCTCCCTCTTTCCCTCTCTCAGCACACTAAGGCTCAGAAGGGTTACACAATTTTCTGGGGTCCCATAGCCAAGAAACGGGCAAGGCAAAAGTCAAGAGCCCCGTCTTCCTGACACAGCACCAAGTCCTTCCCATTGGATCTGTATCCCTACATCCCTTATATTTGCATATTTTTATATTTGCATATTTTTAAATCCCCTTAAATTTCTACCTCTCAACTGTCCTGGCATTTCGAAGCTTCCTGTTGTAAAGGAACTAGAAAAGAACTGCCCCTCCCCCGAGCTGACGGCTCCCTCGGTACCTGGCTGGAGTTCAACACCAGCTGAGAAAAGGTGCTGGGGACCTGGCTGCCGTGTGAGCGCCTGAGCACAGGGAGAGGCGGACGGGGCGAGAATCTGGAGACTCGCAGTGTGTAACGGTGAGAAAAGACTTCCCGACACCCAGTGTCCATCACCCCTTATCCGAGATGTTACACAAGAGAAGAAAGGTTCCCAAATGCCAGTGAGAAGTAAGGCCGAAAAGTAAGCTGGAAGTTCTTAGAGCAAGAAATAAACACTGCTGCCTAACCAGCCAGGTCCCTAGGGATTCCAAAGGCAGAGACTTTTACCAGTCCTTCCACCAGCCAGGAGGAACCCATTTTCAAAAGAAACTAATCAACATTCTTGACTGAGCACTTGGCATAAGCTTGGATGGAAAGGCAAAATTGCTTTTTAGTGAGGAGATCCCAGACGGTGGCCACTCTGCCCCCTTCCCCCTCTGGCGCCGGCAGCCTCTCCGGGAGGAGCAGGCACTCCAAGGACCCTCTCTCCACAGGCCACCCTCAGACTTCACTTCGGCGAGTCTAATGCTGCAGGGAAGCAGCAGTCAGTGCCAGGGACCGCCACACGGAGCATCAGAAACTTTAGGATGTGAAGGAACCTACATCTCACCTCCACACACCTCACCTGACAGACCGGGCAAACGTCAAACCAGAAAGGGCAGTGACTTGCACAAGGTCACAGGGAGCGTCCAGGGCTCTTATCATTAAGTAGCGCGGCCTCCCTTCCTTCCCGGGGAGCAGGCCCCCGCCCCCCGCCCAGACACGGGAACCATCCCCGCCCCCACCCCCGCCGCCCCCCCGCAGCCGGCTGAGTCGCGGTTCTAATTAGCAAGCCTTGGAGCAGGCAACCTTGTCTGGGAGGGTGCCCAGCGGGAGGGACGGGGGATGAAGGAGAAGGGTGTGAGGAAGCGGGTCCTGACGGCGGCTGCGAGCTCGGTGGGGACGCACGCAGTGGCATCTCCCAGGAGCCGCCCAGCCGCTGGCACCACCTAAAGGTACCGGGAAGGGCTGGGCCCCAACGGAGAGGGACGCGCAGAGGTCCTCCAAGTCCCCGCGGGGCCTCCGGGCGCCGCCTGGCAGAACGGCGCGGGCTCCGCGCGCAGCGGGTCCTTAGAGGCCCGACGACAAGGATGCCGGCCCGCCCGAGGGGGGCACCGGTGACCCGCAGAGGCCGCGGACCCCGCCGGCCGCCGCCGCCGCCGCCCACCCGGACGCCGTCCTCGGCGCGGCCTTACCGAGGCACTGTCCCACCGGGGTGCTGAACGGGTTCCCCAGCAGGAACTCCATCTTGGGCGGACAGACGGCAGCAGCGGACGCCCTGTCAGACGCCGGGTCTCCGCAGTCCCCGTCGCGCTCCCGACCTGACTGACACCTGCCCCCGCCCCACCCTCGGGACGCTCCGCCCCCTCCGCTCCTGCAGCACTCCTATTGGGCAACGCCTGCCCGGCTTCCCTCCGATTGGTCCCCCACGAAGACCCACCTGCCCCCGGCTTCCGATTGGGCGGAGGGGCGAGCGAAGTCGCAGGGATCGCCGGCTAGCGAGGGGCACCTCCCCTGGCCCGCCTCCGAACAAGTCCGTGTGTTTTGATTCATCTATATATTGGTCAATCTAGAATCCCTACTGTTATTGGAGAGCAGATGAGTCAATCACTCAAGTACGGGACTGGAAGGAGACGAGGCTAGAAAGATCCCGCCCATGAGAAGTGCTGATTGGAGGAACGTTTGTTTTCCCCACAGCTAGTTGGTGAAAGGAATATTTCCCCACCCAGGAATGTTGTTAGGCGACTTATCAACTTTCACCCAGGATGTTTACTTCCTAACTTCCCCTTAGCAACGGAGTGGCGTCTTCTGGTTCTCCTAGCAACTGAGCGAAGCGACTTCTGCGCGAACCAGTCGGGTAGCCTGCGCTTGAGAAGGTCAGACTCGGGAGCTGAAGCTCTGGGAGGACTGACAGAGCCAACAGCGCCCAACTTAACTCTTCTCTCCGACTATTTTCTCCGACTTTTTTCTCCGAGGATCCTGGCCCGGCCCTTCTCATCTATAAAGTGAGCACATAGGTCCTCTGCCAGCCGCTCTGAGACAGGCAAAACTCTAGTTCTCGGCTTTCAAGCCTCTGGGTTAAAAAGAAACACTAAGGAAGCAGTTCCTCAGCGGGCAGGGCCCGAAGAATTTTTTTAAAAATATATTTTTATTGATTTCAGAGAGAAAGAGAGAAACAACATTGATGAGAGAGAATCATTGATCGGTTGCCTCCCACTCACCCCCTCCTGGGGATGGAGCCTACAACCCAGGCACGCGCTCTGATGGAAGTCCAACTGTGACCTTCTGGGTCAGTGGTTGATGCTCAACCATTGAGCCACCCTAGCCGGCCCCTATAGATTTTTAAGGAGTCTCATCCCCTAGGCTTCTGGCCTGATCCCTTTCATAGAGAGAAAGGAACTTGAAAGAAAAATCCATTAATAACTTCTTCAAGAATTTAACTCTTATATCCCACTTCACAAGTATCATTAAATTATTCCTCTTATTTTTACTCTTCATCTTGGTGCTATTTAAAGTACTTTGGCTGGGCAAATGGATATCCAAGTTCCATGTCTGTTCCTTGTCAGTAGCTACTTGTATGACTAGACTATTTTCTTTCCTGATGACTCTTAGTTTTCCTATCTGGGAAATTAAGGCAATAGGGATCTTCTCTAATGGCCTCCAGAGCTGACATAATTAACACTTGAGCACTGGTACACAGTAAGCATTCAGTAAAGTAAGCTGTTTATTTTTCAGATCCAGTTGATCCCAGCTGGTTGTTTCCTAGGACAGTTCTGGACCTGTTTCTTCCTGAGGAGGAGACTCCATTGAGGCGCATTCTCTACCTCCTACCTGTGGTCTTCACCAACAAAACTATCAACAGGCAAGGCATCAGGAGCCCAGGCTGGGTGGTGAATTATGATAAAAACCCTGTGGGAGGACTGTTAGGGCCTTGACCCTGACGCAGAACAGCCGTGGAAAACACTCTGGGCAGTGACAGTGATGGTCTGCAGTGACCTGGGAACAGCTGAGTCATGATTAAGAAATGGCTCTGGAGTCCTGTTTTCCAGCTCTGCTATCTACTAGATGTATAAACTTGGGCATTTTACTTAACCTAACAGCTTCCATTTTCTTATCTGAAAGCTGCCAATGACTAGTCCTACATATAAAATAAATTCCTAGAGATCTTTCAAATCCATGTCTCACCACCCCCTTGGTCACTTGGTCATCTCTCACTTCATGACTCTTGCCATTCTCAGTAGTACAACCAGAGTGAGCATCTTAAGATTAAAACCTTACCGTGTCACTGCCCCTGTTAAGCCCCAGGAGCTCCCAGGTCTCCTAGGATAATGACAGAGCTCCTGTAGGCCCCTCCAAGCTGGATCCCTTCAGCCAAAGTGGAACAGGCCCTCTTCCCACACCAGGGCCTCGATGTGTGGTTCCCTCTCCTTTCCTGCTCCTCCTTCAGATCTCAGCCCCAGCTCCACGGCCAGGCCAAGTGCCCCTAATGCATACTATCATAGTTCCCTATACTTACTAATTTGTCATCGCTTCTTTTCTTTTAAAAAAAATATATTTTATTGACTTTTTTACAGAGAGGAAGAAAGAGGAATAGAGAGTTAGGAACATCGATGAGAGAGAAACATCGATCAGCTGCCTCTTGCACACCCCCCACTGGGGATGTGCCCGTAACCAAGGTACATGCCCTTGACCGGAATCGAACCCGGGACCTTTCAGTCTGCAGGCTGACGCTTTATCCACTGAGCCAAACCGGTCTTGGCTGTCATTGTTTCTAATTAAACATTTGTATGACTATATGATCATTTGAAACAGACTATATGATCATCTGAAACAGAGATAAGGAGATCTGTCTGTTGTAGTCATAACATGTAGATATTCATCACATGTGTGTAGACTAAACAAATGTGGGAGGGAGGCATTATTCATCTAGTATAGATGCGAAGCTGAAGGCTTAGCCAGGGGAGGTGAGTTGCCAAAGGATGCAAAGTCAGGTCTAAGCCCTGCCCTGGTGGGTTGGGCAGCGGCCCCACATTGCCATTGGGCTGGACCGAAAGCAAGCTTGTTCTGGCTTAAGTGCCAGGCCTTGATGTGGGAGGGATGATAAGTCAGTTGGAGTTTTGAAGTCAGAATTAAGAATAATTTTCCCAAGTACAGAACCTTTCTTTGAAAAAGCACAAGCACCTTGCAGTTGATATCTGCAAAATACAGCACATTAAAATTCCCCAAAGGCAACTTGGTATCAAGTTATGGGAAATTTTAGAAAATTTGTTTCAGCCGAAGCCAGTTTGGCTCAGTGATAGGGCGTCGGTCTGTGGACTGAAAGGTCCCAGGTTCGATTCCGGTCAAGGGCATGTACATTGGTTGTGGGCACATCCCCGGTAGGGGGTGTGCAGGAGGCAGCTGGTGAATGTTTCTCTCTCATCAATGTTTCTAGCTAGAATGTTTCTCTCTCTCCATCCCTCTCTGTAAAAAATCAATAAAATATATATATTTTTAAAAATTTGTTTCAGAAGAGGAGGGAGATAGAGAAAGGCAAAGGGCTGGAAACATCTTTTGGGGGCAGGAAATGTAGTAATGTTGACAATGGGAGGAATGGGGAGATGGGAGGTGCAGGCGGAGCACGGGCATGGGGAGGGCAGAAGGGATGGGGTTGGGATTAGGTAGGCTGTGCCTCCTCTGGGGGTAGAAGGAAAGGCCGCATGACAGCTAAAAGCACTGGGACATCTGGTCATGCAAATCCAGAAACAGAAGATGCATATTTACGTAAGCTGCCTACAATGGGTGGTGGGGGAGAGGGGAGGGCAGCTGGCAGTGGCAGTGTAAGGCCAAGTGGCAGGATTGCCAGGCCCATCGGGTATGTGATGCGCACCATACCACCAGCACTCTCCAAACAGAACCCAGAGGACAAAGGGCAGAGGACAGAGGCTTGTCCAGGTCAAGGACTAGCAGAGCAGGGAGGACAGGAGGCTCAGGGAGGCCCGATGGTGGGGACACAGGCAGACAGAGAAAGCAGGTGATGTCAGCAGTGAGGCGAGAAGCAGCGTGGGAAGTAGGAGGGAGAACTGGTTCCAGAGGTTCAGGAGGCGGGATCTGGGCATTTCCAGTAGATTGACAAGAGCATGTGCCCTCCTGCAGCCTGGTCTCCGGATGTCCTCACTCAGAGGCTGGTGTGAGGAGGAGGAGGTCCTCACTCAGAAGCTGGTGTGAGGAGGAGGAGGTCCTCACTCAGAGGGCGGTGATGAAGAGGAGGAGGTCCTCACTCAGAGGGCGGTGATGAAGAGGAGGCTGTCCTCACTCAGAGGCTGGTGTGAGGAGGAGGAGGTCCCCACTCAGAGGCTGGTGTGAGGAGGAGGCTGTCCTCACTCAGAGGCTGGTGTGAGGAGGAGGAGGTCCCCACTCAGAGGCTGGTGTGAGGAGGAGGAGGTCCTCACTCAGAGGGCGGTGTGAGGAGGAGGCTGTCCTCACTCAGAGGCTGGTGTGAGGAGGAGGAGGTCCTCACTCAGAGGCTGGTGTGAGGAGGAGGCTGTCCTCACTCAGAGGCTGGTGTGAGGAGGAGGAGGTCCTCACTCAGAGGCTGGTGTGAGGAGGAGGTCCTCACTCAGAGGCTGGTGTGAGGAGGAGGCTGTCCTCACTCAGAGGCTGGTGTGAGGAGGAGGAGGTCCTCACTCAGAGGGCGGTGATGATGAGGAGGTCCTCACTCAGAGGCTGGTGTGAGGAGGAGGGTGTCCTCACTCAGAGGGTGGTGTGAGGAGGAGGCTGTCCTCACTCAGAGGGCGGTGATGAGGAGGAGGCTGTCCTCACTCAGAGGCTGGTGTGAGGAGGAGGAGGTCCTCACTCAGAGGCTGGTGTGAGAAGGAGGGGGTCCTCACTCAGAGGGCGGTGTGAGGAGGAGGCTGTCCTCACTCAGAGGCTGGTGTGAGGAGGAGGAGGTCCTCACTCAGAGGCTGGTGTGAGGAGGAGGCTGTCCTCACTCAGAGGCTGGTGTGAGGAGGAGGAGGTCCTCACTCAGAGGCTGGTGTGAGGAGGAGGCTGTCCTCACTCAGAGGGCGGTGATGAGGAGGAGGGGGTCCTCACTCAGAGGGCGGTGATGAGGAGGAGGGGGTCCTCACTCAGAGGCTGGTGTGAGGAGGAGGGGGTCCTCACTCAGAGGGCGGTGTGAGGAGGAGGAGGTCCTCACTCAGAGGCTGGTGTGAGGAGGAGGAGGTCCTCACTCAGAGGGCGGTGTGAGGAGGAGGAGGTCCTCACTCAGAGGGCGGTGATGAGGAGGAGGCCGGATGCCCTGGCTTCCTGGGGCTGTGGCTCTGCCCAGCCAGGAATG